GTTTCGTGTGTGTGTGTTTACGTGTGTGTGTGTTTACGTGTGTGTGTGTATGCGTGTGTATGTATTGCTTAAAAACTTGATTGAAAATAGGCTGAAGTTACCGTGCTATGTGTGATTTGAAGTTAACTTGAGAACTTTTAATAAAGACGATAGTATGATATGATAATAATACACACCCAAATTTCAATGTTAACACAGTCAGTAATATTTATATGGCATATAATAATAACGTTTGTCTAACGATATAACATTACGTAACAATAACAATTGTGTTAATGTGTTGCTAGCTTTCAGTCTTAGTGAGCGGAATTCATAGAGTTATAATGTTTAGTTCAGTTGGGTGTTACCTGCCAAGCTTTTTATTTCAATTTACAAGAAGGTTTTTTGCCTGGCTTTAATTTCTTTTGTTCGTTCATTCATTTCTTCATTCATCCATTCATTCATTCATTTTGTTTTTTCAATAGGATGTATAAGTTTTTTCATTTTTTATTTTAGTTGCTTTATACGATGATAAGTTCGATGTTATACATTTTTTTCATTACAATTTCACAATTTACTCTTCTGCTGTTCAGACAACAAATCCTACACGTTTATATAATGTAATATATATATATATATACGTATAATTAATATACGTACGCATTTATGTTTAACATGTATGTACTGTACATGCTAGAATGCGTGCATGCATGCATGTGTGGTTTGCAAGTGAATCAAGTACAGTCACATTTACATGTATAGGAATATATATATATATATGTTTATATGTGTATATATATATATATATATATACAGTTCGCGTGTGCTCACACGTTTTGAAACTTGCCTGAGATTTTTCATCACTCATCTTATTTTTAAATATTTTTTCATCGTGGGGCGAATGTGTGTCACGTCATAAATTGATTTGTACAGGTCTCAGGAGATAGTTAAAATAACAACGACACACACGCGTGTGGTGTGGCGTTGTAATGTTGTGATGTGCCTACTTGGCTTGAAGCTTTTGGACTAAGAAGAAAATAGAGGTATTAATACGGCTCTTATGTAACTAATGTTTTTCGTTAATTTTTTTAAAAATTTGTTCTATTCTTTTTTTCTATAATCCCAGAGTTTTGTTAACTATTTTTTATGACATAATAATTTTATATTTATATGCCTTTAATCTCCTTGATCTTTTCATTTGGTTAATCTCCTGATATCTAGTATTATATCTAAATATAATTCGCTTTTATAAACCATCTACTAATCTCTTATCTTTGATTGATTGATTGATATATCTCTTCTCGGTAAATAATACTAAGGCTATAGAATTTCATGAAAATTGTATTATGTGTATATATATATATATATATATATATATATATATATATATATATATATATATATATATATATATATATATGGTAATGTTTACTGTTCTGCTACACATTTTGGTAAATCACAATCTCTACTGATTCTTTTTCTTTATTACTCTCATTAATTAAATCACATTAATCATTTTATTATTATTGTTATTTATTTGTTTATTTATTGTTATTGTTTATTTCATATTTAAAATTTTTATAGGGTATCTCGTGCTTATTTGCTTAACGTCGTCGTCGGTTCAGCGTTCGTTTATATTGCATCTTTATTTAGTGAAGTTATGTATTTGAAGACAATTAACCAGTCAATCGATCAATTGATTGACTGGTTAATTTAACAGTTACTTAATTGACTAATTGGTTGATTGATTAGTTAGTTAGGTCAAATAAATATATAGTTTTATAGCGTGCACATAAATGACTAAAATAATAATATCATTATTAATTATAACGAACAGTCATATATCGGTAATAATATTGATGTTACTGACAGACATATAAAATGTTCTATAGATGAAAATCACAGCTTGTTCCGCGTTAGTTAGCTTCCTGTTACATTTTTCTAACAGTTGATCGTAAATCATTGTTAAGTTTCTTGAGTTCAAAACCAAAGTTTTCATTTATATATTTTAAGCATTATAGAACAAAAAGGCTTTTTCGGTATTCCTGTACCATCTTCGGTGTTCGAATTGATACGTTTTGTCTCTATAGTATTAATTCCTTGTTGTAGTCTTACATTATAATAACAACCGTTATAATCTACGACTAGCCGATTCGTGCAATTGGAATCATTCCCACTAATAAATTTAGAAACAGAGGAATCATCGATAATGGAAGCTAACTAACGCGGTACATGCTGTGATTTTCATCAATAATTGCATTTCTGACAGTCTTAATCTAATATATATATATATACAATATATATGTGTATATATACAATTATTTATAAAGATCACTGCGTTTTCGACATTATTCAACTTGTAGTTGAGTTTCTCAATTTTTCTAACGAGACTTTTATTAAATTGAGAAACTCAACTGCAAGTTGAATAATGCCGAAAACGCAGTCATCTTTATAAAAAATTGTTTAAACCAAAAGTGTGTGTATATATATATATATATATATATATATATATATAGAGAGAGAGAGAGAGAGAGAGAGAGAGAATTTATCAAAAATTCAAAAAAAATTTTTTCATAAAATGTTTTGGGAGTAATCAAAGTGTTGTCTTAATTAATTAATTAATTAGTTAAATTTATTTTCCTACTTCAATTTATTTCTTCGTACCTTCATAATTGTACTATTTTAATTACTAGAAAATAGATAATTTAGAAACATTTGGCGCGGAGTGGAGTGGTAATGTTTATTTAAATCAACTGTGGAATAACATTAATATCCATCGTGCTGAATTTTGCGGGTTTTCCGTGAAATTTTCCATTTGAGTATAATTTTTATTTAATTCTGTTGACTCCTAGCATTGCTGAACATATGTGTGACCTATATACACATTCATTAGTCTACAAAAGTTAATTCATTTGTTCGTTCGTTCATTCGTTAATTCATTCATTCTTTCGTACATACATTCATTCATTCTCGAATTCTGTTTTTGTTTTCTTGATCGATCGCTCACTACATTGGTATCTCGTATCTAATTGATGATTTGTTAAATTTTTATTAAAGCTAACGTTTGTATTTTTACGTTGTATTGTCCTCTGTAAATCTTTCATCTATATCATTATTATTATTATTATTCATTATTATTATTTATTATTATTATTAATATTAATGAGATATCCATTTGGTCGATTAACTCAATAGTTACACTTTTGAATCGGTTGTTTAGTTTCAGCGCGAACCTATCCTATTCAATACTCATATGGGTTAGGCGTTCTGACTGGATTATTTCCTACCTTTACACTCCCGCCTGATTCCTTCAGATTGCTCTTAATTTCTCTCTCAACTTTTGACTTTTGCATCTTCTAATACACCTCATACTGTCTATAAAACTAACAGAAATATCCAAGAGACAATAATAATAAGATACACTTTGATCAATGAGGTTTCATTTGAATTTTTTTGGTGATTTCATATTGACTGCGTCTGTTTGCGTTACATATATATAAATATATATTAAATGGTCATACATTGACTATAAGCTTGCTAGTGAAATACAACAACATAACACGTATGTATTATTGATTATAATGGTTGTTTCATTATATAATTCGAGGTTATTACTTATTAAAATGAGGGGAATTTATGTTTGATGGAATTTTGAGGTGGTGTATTTGCCACTCCTGATGCTGCATTCTTATTGCACTGCTAACGTTTAACAAAACAACAACAGTAATAATATAACAAAACTGCTTTTTACGTACATATTTGCGTCGTCGTCGTCTTTGTTGTTGTTGTGTAGAGTTGAAGATAAATTTTATATGAAAGTATGAAATTTTGTAAAAAAAAAATATTTGGATATAGAGAAGAAAATGTTTTATATCGTTTAAATGTTGTTCTAACTTTAACTACTAGAAATATTTACTATGCGTTGTTATATCAGTTTAGTTGAATTCAACAATGTCCCAATATTAATAATAATATTAACACATGTGTGTGCGTATATATATATATATATGCTGGTAATAGACCATAATTTTTACAATATTCTATAAATTCTACCGAATGTTTGGCGTTATTATGTTTGTA